TACAGACCCAGAAGTACCGGAACGAGTTACTTCCGGGTTTCAGCAGTCGTGCATGTGCAGAAGTGCTAAATCGCGCTTTCCGCATGTGCAGAATAATAATAATAATAGATTTTATTTATACCCTGCCCTCCCCAGCCAAGGCCGGGCTCAGGGCGGCTAACAACCAATAATAAAAACAAGTTGATTGAAATACAACTTAAAAACAAGGTTAACTACAACATTAGAATATTAAAATGCAGCCTCATCACAGGAGGAGAAAGGAAAAAGAAAGGGGGAGGGAATCAAATTGACTCCAAGCCAAAGGCCAGGCGGAACAACTCTTGTCTTACAGGCCCTGCGGAAAGAAATCAGATCCTGCCGGGCCCTGGTCTCATGAGGCAGAGCGTTCCACCAGGCCGGAGCCAGTGTTGAGAAGGCCCTGGCTCTGGTTGAGGCTAATCTGACTTCCTTAGGGCCCGGGACCTCTAGGGTGTTGCTATATATGGACCTTAAGGTCCTCCGTGGGGCATACCAGGAGAGGCGGTCCCGTAGGTACGAGGGTCCTAGGCTGTGAAGGGCTTTAAAGGTCAAAAGCAGCACCTTAAATCTGACCTATACTCCACCGGGAGCCAGTGCTGCTGGAAAAGCACTGGGTGAATATGCTTCCATGGCGGAGACCCCGTGGGCAGCATTGCTGCAGCATTCTGCACCCTCTGGAGTTTCTGGGTCAGCTTCAAGGGCAGCCCCGCGTAGAGCGAATTACAGTAGTCAAGCCTGGAGGTGACCGTAACATGGATCACTGTGGCCAGGTCGGGGCGGGAAAGGTAAGGGACCAACTGCTTGATGCGGCGAAGGTGGAAAAATGTCGCCTTGGCTGTTGCTGTAACTTGCGCCTCCATGGAAAGGGAGGCGTCAAGGATTACACCCAAACTCTTAACGGAAGGCAATGGCACCGAAGAGCCGAATCGCAATCCGTGTGTGCACAGACGCAGTGCTGCGGGTTGCGAACGTGCCTCCCGCACAGATCACATTCGCAAGCCGAGCATCCACTGTATTTTGAGAGCTGGGTAGTTTGTCCACCTTTGCTCGCCACCCTGCACTCAGCTCCCGCCTGTGGTTCCTCGAAACTGTCCGTATGTGACAGCAGCCACACCCTGGGAACGGCTTCAGCTGGCCAGCTAAACCCGGTGAGGTTAGTTGATGGGTCTTAAACCCTTGATGTGTTAGGGACTTCCCCCGCATGCAAAGACAGGCTCTGGTAGATTGAGAGAATGAGGCCAAACTTTGCTCTGGCGGTCAAGCAGGCAGTTTCATGCTGCAGAGGGAAGTGAGGGGCAGTTGGGGCTGGTCAACCTGGGGAGGTGGCCTGTCTAGGAAGAGGGGAAAAAATGGTCCCAAACCTCTGCTGCTTTGCGGGATATCAAAAGCCTAAGGAGTAAACCCAACAGAAATCTGGAGTCCCTAAGATGGTTGGATGGCATCTTGCATCCTTCTGGCAACTTTAGCAGCCAAGCTGGTGTCAAACCTACTGCTCTGCTTTCCCTTGGACCACATCAGCGAGGCCGAGAGGGGGCTGGCCTTATCTGGGCAGCGCAGGATCTCCAGACACACTGCCCAGGCTTGTGACCCAGGTATATCACATCAGAGCTGCCAACACAACAGTTGGACTTCACCCCCGGAAATGCACCCTGTTGTCTCTCAAAACAGATGCCAGCAACAATTCCACCTTGGGCATACGGTGAGCTGAGGCTGAGAGAACAACACCCCGTATTGGATTTGTGATGATATTTGAAACAGCAGCTTCCCAGGTTCATTTCAGTTATACTGGTGCGAGAAGCAAGGAGGTGCAAACCAGCAACCAAGGGTGGTTCACTGGAAAAAGTACTGTATTTTTCGCTCTATAAGACGCACTTTTCCCCTCCTAAAAAGTAAGGGGAAATGTGTGTGCGTCTTATGGAGCGAATGCAGGCGGGAGGCTCTGCTCAGCGCTCCCTTTAAAGGGTGTGTGGAGTGTGTGGTGTGGCTCTTGGGGGCTTTTCCCCGAGGAGGGAGAAGGGACTGACGGGCTGCTCTTCTCCCTCCAGGGAGGCTCTGCTCAGCACTCCCTTTAAAGAATATTTTTCCCCTTGCATTCCCCCTCTAAAAACTAGGTGCATCTTATGGTCAGGTGCGTCTTATGGAGCGAAAAATATGGTACGTTCTACTGAGTCATGGTCATAGTCACAGTGATGCTTTTGTTGTAGAGAGTGTTTTAATCTTCCCATAAAGAAGACAAGATGGGAAGCTTAACCTGGATGCTTTCCTACAGCATCCTTACTGCTTGCAAAGCAGAAACGTGAAAGAGAAACACAACTTGGGAAGGCCACTTTCTGTTCCCAGGCCTAGATACATCAATGCTTTAGTTCAGTGGTTCCCAATTGCCATATTTTTTGCTCCATAAGACACACTTTTTTTCTTCCTAAGAAGTAAGGGGAAATGTCTGTGCGTCTTATGGAGCAAATGCGTGGTCCCTGGAGCCGAATTGCCCAGGGGTGAAAAGATCATGCTTTTTTTTTTTTTTTTGAAAGAGGGAAGTGGGTGTTGAAACAAAGCCACTGATGGGAAGCGATCGGGGAGAGAGATAAAGGACGCTAGCAATAAAGGAGGCTGCCTGGAAGGGGGGAGGTAAAGACAGAGAACTTGCAAGGAGAGGAGACAGGAAGACTAAAGCATTGAGGAGAGAAATTAGAAGAAAAGGAGGAGCAAAAAACTGCTCCAGCTAAGGAAAAGACACTAAGGCAAACAAGAGGGAAGGGACTGTTGAAAGGAAGCAGTTGATCAGTAAGCGATTGGGGAGAGAGATAAGGGAGGCTAGCAATAAAGGAGGCTGTCTGGGAAGGGGGAGGTAAAAGCCCATGGATCCTCAGGATTTTTGCATTGGGTCACCCCAAATTCACCATCAGATCACATAGCATGTCCATGGCTACAGCCTGCACCAAAAAAATCACGCACCCACTGTTTCATGGGGCCGCAATGGTGCAAAAACGTGGTTACAAAGCATGGATCCACATGGATTCTCAGGATTTTTGCATTGGGCTATCCCAAACTCACTGTCAAATCACATGTCTGTGGCCACAGCATGAACCACAAAGATCATACATCCACTGTTTTCGTTCAGAATATTTTTTTTTCTTGTTTTCCTCTAAAAACTAGGTGTGTCTTATGGAGCGAAAAATACGGTAGCTAAGTGCTGCAACCCCCCTGTGTTTCCAAAGCCAAGCCATGGAAACTGTACTTCTGAAAACGCTGATATCTCCGTGGTAGTTTTTGTTGTGTGAATGGTGCCACCGTACCCTCCAACATGCCCCAGTGCAAAACTAGGACGCATGTGCTCCTGCGCAAGTCACGTGACCTGTGCGAGAGCACAGCACCCCCAAAAAAACACCTTTGGGGTGCTGTACTCTCATATTGAGACGTGCATCCTGCTGCAACCCTGCACATTTTTGGGTGCGATGCTCTCGTGTGAGAGCACGCCCCCCCCAAAAAACGGGATGTCCCGGGTAGTTGACAGGTATGTGCCACCAGCCATGTAGTGTGAACTCCCAGTGCCCGAGGCAGGTGCACACACACCCATGCCTCTTAGCAATGTTTTGCCACCATGTGGGTGCCATAAAGCACAGTATCTGTGACTTAAAACAACAACAGTGCCATGTGCAGACACAGATATGATCTGTGATTTGACAGTAGTTTGGTGGGATCCTATGTAAAAATTCCATTAGCTACAAGTAGAAATTGTAAAGAGATTTTGATACGGTTTTTCTGAGCATTTAGGGTCAAAAGAAAGCAATTTAAAACAACTGTCGTGGAGACAGTTCATTCTGAATCTGCTAGACAGAGGATGATGACAGGTGGGAGTCCTGTCCCCACTAACATAAATCCTGGCTACTCCCATGGGATGATCTACTTGAGATTCCTGCATTGCAGTGGTTTTCGACTGGTTTCCCAAACTTGGGTCTCTGGCTGTTGTTGGCACTACAATTCCCCTTGTACTTAGCAGGACCAGTGGGATGATGGGAGTTGTAGTCCAAAAAACCACGTTTGGGAAACCCTGGACTAGATGAGGCTCCCTTCTGACTCTACACATTCAGGATGCAATCAGGGCCGGATTTAGGTTTAATTGGGCCCTGAGCTCCTGAAGGCAATGGGGCCCTTTATATGTCCAGCTGTCCTTTGTCAACAACAAACGGTCGCTGTTTTTTGTGTTGAATATATGCTATACAGTGGTACCTCTAGATGTGAACAGGATCCGTTCCAGAGCCCTGTTCGCACCTAGAAGCAAACATAATCAGCGACGGCACATCTGCACACGCGCACGTCGCTTTTCACCACTTCTGCGCATGCACATGACGTCATTTTGAGCGTCTGCACATGTGCAAGCGGCGAAACCCAGAAGTAACGCTCTCCGTTACTTCCGGGTTGCCGTGGAGCGCAACTCGAACACGCTCATCCCGAAGCACATTCAACTCAAGGTATGACTGTATGGTAATTTATGGACCTAATAGGTACCTAAAGCCATTTGCACATAACAAAATATGTATTTTAGCAAAGTAATTGTTGAACTGAAATACAATTCAGAAGAAGTATATTAATAGTGAAATAATTATTAAGCTCTAACCTAAAATGATTTTTTATTCATAGCGAACTTAATGCAAACACAAAAGTTCCTTTGGAAACACAATTTACAAAGACTCATAATCTAGAAACTTGCTATAACCTGAAATTATAATTGTAGGTTTTATTTTATTTGTTCTTTATATTACATCTTGGAAATGTGCGTCCAGTTTTCCCCCCTTTAAATTTTTTGGCCCTAAGCTATAGCTTGTTTAGCTTCTACGTAAATCCGGCACTGCATGCGATTGGGAAGCAACTTCCGAGGGTTGCGCGCGGGCCGTTTGGGGCGCTCCAAGCGCCGTGCTTGGAGGAGGAGCGCGGGGAGGAGCGCCACCGCGCGCCCTGGGCGCACGCGCTGCGCGGTGACCAAGATGGTGCCCTGCGCCTCCCCTGTGCTCCTGGCTGCCGCTTCGGCCGCGCGCAGGTTGCGCGCCCCGCTCCGCCCGGGCCCGCGGCTGCTGCTGCTTTCCCGCGGCTGCGCCTCGCGCGCCCTCTGCGCTCCCGGAGGTAGCGGCGCCGGCGGTGGCCCCGGAGAGCCCTCCGCGTCCTGGGCCTGGTATGAAGCTTTGTCGACCTCGGCGCCCGTGGCGTGGATGGAGTCGAGCCTGGTGGCGCTGCAGGCCGCGTCCGGGCTGCCCTGGTGGGCCGCCGTGGTCGCCGCCAGCGCCCTCCTGCGCACCGGCGTCACCCTCCCGCTCGCCGCCCTGCAGAGCCGCGTCCTCGCCAAGGTGGGCTCTGCGCAGGGGCGCACGGAGAGGGGGCTCCTGAGCATCGGCAGAGGGCTGCCAAGCGCGTCCCGAGCAAAGGGGCGCACGGAGAGGGTGGAACGCGTAAACTGGGAGGAAAAAATGGAATGCATGGTGTGACTCTCCGTGGCGGGGGTCGGAGTAGGGCGGTGTGGTCCGCGCGAAATTTAAATAAACAGCAGATGACACAAATCCGGCAAAGTATTTCGAGTCCGGTAAAGCTTTTAAAATGATTAAGCTTGTCCATATGCACATGATACTTCAAAAGTTATTTTAATGCGTATTTGTGTAAGGACCAGATTAATATTTTTTTTGGTCCAATTTGGAAATGTTAGGTTAGGTTATAATTAGCTTAAAGGTTTTCTTAAAAGTGCATATATATAAAAAACTGCCGCCTTGCAAATGAGCCCGTATAATTTAATATGTTTTTGAGGGGGGAGCAGTTTTATCTAGATGCAGGATGAAGTGTGGGAGATGCTTTTCTTTGTCAAATGAATCACTGCTCTTGGCTGCAGAGCTCCTTGCTCAGATTGTCTCATGGCCTGGAATTGGGGTTATTTTTTGGCTACTCCATGTGAAAAATAAAATAAAAAATCTAGTGTACACCTAGGAAAATGTCATATATATCAGTCAGTATAGTACAAGGCTCTTAATCTCAGGGTTGTGAATCCAAGCCCCACATTGAGCAAACAATTCCTGCATTGCTGGGGTCACTAGACGACCCTTTTGGTCCCTTCCAAGTTTGCAATTCTATGATTTAATATCTCATCATCCAGACCATTTAGCATAGCCCTTCAGCTCATCCAGATATTTCACTACCTATATAGTCTTTAAGCACTTATATGGCAACTTTCTAACTTGTACTTCTGCATGAGGATACTACTGTTTCTAGCAAAATACTGAGCTGTACTCAGTGGTAGGGTGCATGATTAATTTTTTTGCATGCACAAGGCCCCAGATTTAATCCCTGGTATGGCTGGGAAAGAGGGACGCAGGTGGCGCTGTGGTCTAAACCACAGAGCCTAGGGCTTGCCGATCAGAAGGTCGGCGGTTTGAATCCCCGCGACGCGGTGAGCTCCCGTTGCTCGGTCCCTGCTCCTACCAACCTAGCAGTTCAAAAGCACAAAGTACAAGTAGATAAATAGGTACCACACCAGTGGGAAGGTAAACGGCGTTTCCGTGCGCTGCTCTGGTTCGCCAGAAGCGGCTTAGTCATGCTGGCCACATGACCCGGAAGCTGTACGCCGGCTTCCTCGGCCAATAAAGCGAGATGAGCGCCGCAACCCCAGAGTCGGCCACGACTGGACCTAATGGTCAGGGGTCCCTTTACCTTTACCTATGGCTGGGAAAGAGCCCCACCTGAAACCACAGAAAGCTCTTGCCGGGCAGCATAGACAATTGTTGTCGTTTAGTCGTGTCCGACTCTTCGTGACCCCATGGACCAGAGCACGCCAGGCACTCCTGTCTTCCACTGCCTCCTGAAGTTTGGTCAGACTCACGTTTGTAGCTTCGAGAACGCTGTCCAACCATCTTGTCCTCTGTCGTCCCCTTCTCCTTGTGCCCTCCATCTTTCCCAACATCAGGGTCTTTTCCAGGGAGTCTTCTCTTCTCATGAGGTGGCCAAAGTCTTGGAGCCTCAGCTTCAGGATCTGTCCTTCCAGTGAGCACTCAGGGCTGATTTCCTTCAGAATGGAGAGGTCTGATCTTCTTGCAGTCCATGGGATAGACAGTACTCAGATAGATAGAGCCATGGTTTGACTTGTATTTTAATTCCCACTTACTGCATTTCTATAGTGATGCTAGTGAACCTGGGTCTACATTTAGGCAGGTAGGCAAGAGTAAACCCTTAATGTATACCTGAAGGAGCGTCTCCACCCCCATCGTTCTGCCCGGACGCTGAGGTCCAGCGCCGAGGGCCTTCTGGCGGTTCCCTCATTGCGAGGAGCAAAGCTACAGGGAACCAGGCAGAGGGCCTTCTTGGTGGTGGCACCCGCCCTGTGGAACACCTTCCCACCAGATGTCAAAGAGAAAAATAACTACCAGACTTTTAGAAGACATCTGAAGGCAGCCCTTTTTAGGGAAGCTTTTAATGTTCGATGTATTACAGTATTTTAATATTTATTATTATTATTATTATTATTATTATTATTATTATTATGCTAAGGGAGAGCTCTTTAAGGGACAGGTTTTTGAGGGGGAAAGAAGCACTTTACTGGTTTATAACTAAGTCGTCCGTGTCTTTTCAGCTAGCTGGAAAACCTGAAGCCTGAAATCCACAGCCTAGCCAAGCACCTTCGCTATGAAGTTTCCGTTTGTGCAAAACAACGGAGTTGGTCTGAAAAGGAAGCCAGGTAAGAGCATTTTGAGCAGTATCTCAGCTCATCCAGTTGGAATAATATTCTGTGGCATTAAACATTTCTCTTGCTCATGGCCACTGCAAGCCACGTAGCAGTATACAATGGCACCTTGGTTCTCAAACTTAATCCATTCCAGAAGTCCGTTCCAAAACCAAGGCATGCTTTCCCATAGAAAGTAATGCAAAATGGATTAATCCATCCCAGACTTTTAAAAACAACCCCTAAAACAGCAATTCGACGTGGATTTTACTATCTAACGAGACCATTGATCCATAAAATGAAAGCAATAATCAATGTACTGTACTATAAAGTAAATAAAACGGTATTGTAGATGATGAAAATTAAAATATTTCCCCCCCCCCTTACCTGCACTGATGATAGTCAATGTTTGGATGGGGGGCTTTTAGCCATTTCCGCAGTCACACAATCAATCAGTAGCTGAACTGGGTTCCACACTGTCACAAAAACAAATTAACCGAAAAAGCCTCAGAAACAAAAACACCAAATAAATAGTGAAAACAAAAGCGCCAAACTTAATCCTTTCCGGAAGTCCGTTTGACTTCTGAAATATTTGAAAACCAAGGCGCAGCTTCTGATTGGTGCAGGTGCCCCGGAAACAATAGCCGACAGACGCATTGGACGTTCGGCTTCTGAGAAACGTTCGAAAACCAGAACACTTACTTACTTTTCGGCGTTTGGAAACCAAGGTGTTTGAGAACCAAGGTACCACTGTACTTGTAAGATTCCCATGTGAAGAGTTCTTCTGTGGGGAAGATCTACCAAGCTTGTCTGTTGAGCGCATGCTGCTTCATGGAAGCAAGTTGTGGGCAACTTACACCTGCCAGGAATGACGCCTCAATGCCTCCCACGTGCGTTGCGCCAGGAGGGTTTTGGGTATCAAATGGCAGGACAGAGTCACAAGCAATGATGTGCTTTCCCAAGCCTTACATACCCAGCATGTTCGCACTCCTGTCTCAGCGACATCTACACTGGCTTAGTCATGTCCACAGAACGGAGGAGGACAGCATTCCCAATGACGTGCTCTGTGGGGAGCTGGCTTCAGACACCAGGCCCACTCGCAGACCCACACTCTGTAACTCTGCATTACAAAGATGTTCGCAAACATGATATGGAGGCTACTGTGTGGGTGTTGGGATACTGCCGGGAGCACGGGGGCATCAGGCAGGCCCCCAGCTGGCTCCAGCCACCGGCCAGCAGCCGGACTCCCTTGGAACAGCATCAAACAGCAACACGAGCCTCAGATACGTTTAGAGACCCGTGCAAGCTCTGTCAGCAGAGTGTGTAAATCATCTCACAGCAGAAGAGGCGGACAGAGAGATGTGCAAGCATAATGTACAGCATTTTATTCAGGACAGTTCAGGAACAAAGGAAAACATGTCTGCTACCCTTCGTCTCCAGCAAAACAGCAGCAATACAAAAGCTATATACAAACGGAAGTTCCCAGAGAGTGCTGGAAGGAAACAGGCATGTGACACACAAACCTGTACACATGCCTGTACAGTGGTGCCTCGCAAGACGAAATTAATCCGTTCCGCGATCTCTTCGTCTTGCGGTTTTTTCGTCTTGCGAAGCACGGCTGTTAGCGGCTTAGCGGCTATTAACGGCTTAGCGGCTTTAAGAAAAAGGAAACAAACTCGCAAGAACTCGCAAGACGTTTCGTCTTGCGAAGCAAGCCCATAGGGAAATTCGTCTTGCGGAACGACTCAAAAAACGGAAAACTCTTTCGTCTAGCGAGTTTTTCATCTTGCGAGGCATTCGTCTTGCGGGGCACCACTGTACCCTTTTAAGGTGGAACGGAACTACAGTGGTACCTCAGGTTAAGTACTTAATTCGTTCTGGAGGTCTGTTCTTAACCTGAAACTCTTCTTAACCTGAAGCACCACTTTAGCTAATGGGGACTCCTGCTGCCGCTGCACCACCAGAGCACGATTTCTGTTCTCATCCTGAAGCAAAGTTCTTAACCTGAAGCACTATTTCTGGGTTAGCAGAGTCTGTAACCTGAAGCGTATGTAACCTGAAGCGTATGTAACCCGAGGTACCACTGTATATCCTAACAGTGGGAACCCCTTGCACATGAACGCAGGCAGTCAGTTCATGCATCCATAGCAGTGACCGGAGGAGGAATGACCGCTGGGAGGAGTGCAGAGAGAATAAACGCCCTGGTTCATCTTCAACAGCACAACCGGAAGCCTTCCTCTGCCCCAGCTGCAAGAAAACATGTCTCTCCCTTATCGTTCTCTACAGCCACAGCAGGCGCTGTAACGCTAACGGTTTGACTTCATCCCCGAAGGCGCACTCCTCCATTGTCTCCAGAGACAGATGGATGCTAACCAACATGTGGTGCATAATGCAATGGAGAGAGTCTCTTCCTTTAAATTCCTAGGAGTTTATCTCAGTGAAGCCCTTACTTGGAAAATAAATACAACCCAGGTGGTTAAGAAAGCCCAACAGAGACTCCATCTCCTCAGAGTACTGCGAAAGAATGGTGTCAAATCAACATTTGATGATCTCCTTTTACCGGTCAACAATGGAAAGTGTCGTTTCATACTGCATCACGGTGTGGTACGCTGGTTTGACGTCAACTGATAGGAAGTGCTTACAGAGGGTGGTGAATACAGCACAAGATATTATGGGCTGTCCCGTGAATCCGCTGGATGACATCGCGGAAGAACGTTGCCTCAGGAGAGTGAGGGAAATTCTCAGGGATGATTCACACCCTGGCTGACACTTTCTTGATCTCCTGCCCTCGGACAGAAGATATAGAAGCATGATAAGTCGCACAAACAGGGTAAAGAACAGCTTCTATCCGTGGGCTGTTAGGCTGCTGAATGAAAAGACAACAACAGGGCAACTGACTTTTGGGTTTGGTGGGTGTGCATCAGTAAATGAGGGGAATTAAGACTAAGAGAGCTGAGTGGGGGGTGCTTGTGTAATCTCACTGTATACAAGTTGTAGAAGTGACAATAAAGTAAAGGTAAGGGGACCCCTGACCATTAGGTCCAGTCATGCCCGACTCTGGGGTTGCGGCGCTCATCTCGCTTTATTGGCCGAGGGAGCCGGCGTACAGCTTCCGGGTCATGTGGCCAGCATGACTAAGCCGCTTCTGGCGAACCAGAGCAGCGCACGGAAACGCTGTTTACCTTCCTGCCAGAGCGATACCTATTTATCTACTTGCACTTTGACGTGCTTTCGAACTGCTAGGTTGGCAGGAGCAGGGACCGAGCAACGGGAGCTCACCCTGTCGCGGAACCACCGACCTTCTGATCAGCAAGTCCTAGGTTCTGTGGTTTAACCCACAGCACCACCCGCGTCCCCTCCACAATAAAGTATTTCAATTCAATTTCAATTGTTCTGCGATTGGCCTTTCAGCACTGCCCACAGACCTGTCTACGGGTTCTTCCACTCCTTCTCTGTTCCTTTATATTGCCCACTTACCGCATTTCTATAGTGATGCTAGTAAGCCCCTTTATAAAGGTCAATGTAACCTCTTCCTTGTTCTTCCCTCACTTCTGTTTCCCTCTGCCCAAGCAGGTTCCATTTCAAGAAGAATCTGAAAAGGATTGTTTCCGAGTTGTACGTGCGAGACAACTGCCACCCTTTGAAGGCCACCTTGCTCGTATGGATTCAGATTCCAATGTGGGTCTTCGTTTCCATGGCTTTGCGCAACTTCAGCATTGGTAGAGCAGCTGCTGACGGTAAGGCTTTTGAACTGGTGTCGTGAAATGTTAGGAAGTCATTCTTCAAAGAAACGGAAAAAGGAGCTTGTAGGTTTAAAGAAGTTTTCTTTAAAGGTTAGGAGTGACACTCTAGGCTGATTGGTTATAGCTGGGGATGGGGGAAAAAAGGAGGACGTTGCAGGTTGCACTTCCCTGCATGAGGAAAGAGTACCCACACGGTGTGAGATAATAATAATAATAATAATAATAATAATAATAATAATAATTTTTTATTTATACCCCGCCCTTCCCGGTTTAAAAACCAGGCTCAGGGCAGCTAACAGCAAATATAAAACATTGATTAAAATGTGACTTAAAAACAGCATAGAATGCAACATGCAAATGCAGCATCAATATCAATAAAAATCCAGGGGTCATTTTTGTGTGTGTGTGTGGGGGGGGGAACGACCAGTCAGTAGACATCAAATGATCACCAGGGCTAACTGGCCTAGTTAGTCCTACCAGGGCCAGCAAGGAGACCAAGGAAGAATTTAAATGTGGGGTCCCAGAAAGGGTTTCTTCATAGAAGAGGAAAGGGAAAAGGGAATAGAAGATCAGGCTAATTCAAATTGAAGGCCAGGCGGAATAGCTCTGTCTTACAGGCCCTGCGGAAGGAGATCCAGTCCTGTATATACCAGGCATAGGCAAACTGCGGCCTTCCAGATGTTTGGGATTACAATTCCCATCATCCCTGACCACTGGTCCTGTTAGCTAGGGATGATAGGAATTGTAGTCCCAAATATCTGGAGGGCTGGAGTTTGCCTATGCCTGGTTTACCCCGTGGTGGAAAGATGTATGTAAATAGTTTTGTATATAGTCGCGACTAAAGTGCTTGTGAACCAGCCAAGAAATAAAGTAACTCTTGACTGAGTATTTTGTACAAGTCTCATAGTCTCTTGCCGCAAGGAAGGAACTCTCCTATGGGCTGTTCAAAGCGGTTTTACAGAGGAGCCACCACACCAGCAACAAGCGTAGTAGAAGTGTGTGGGCAGCAACGTCCAATATATAATGTACCATAAAACCTCTACTTACATCCTGCTCTACTTAGGCCTGTTCCAAGTTGCAACCGCGGCAAACCCAGAAGTAAACACCGGGTTTGCTGCGATTTACGCATGTGCAGAAGCGGGTGCCGCTAAATGTGCCTGCGCACAATGATGCTTCTACCAGCAATCCATTTCGCCATAAGGATGGGCCTCTGGAATGGATTGTGGTCGTGAGTAGAGGTTCCACTGTACGCTGTTTCCCCAAACCCTATTTCTCATCCCTTGGCTTAATAATAATAATAATAATAATAATAAATTTTATTTATACCCCGCCCTCCCCAGCCAAGACCGGGCTCAGGGCGGCTAACAACCAATAATAAAAACAAGTTGATTGAAATACAACTTAAAAAACAAGATTAAAATACATTAAAATAATCAAAACATTAAAATGCAGCCTCATTGCAGGAGGAGAAAGGAAAAAAGAAAGGGGGGGGGGAGGGAATCAAATTGATTCTAAGCCAAAGGCCAGGTGGAACAACTCTGTCTTACAGGCCCTGCGGAAAGAAATCAGATCCTGCAGGGCCCTGGTCTCATGAGACAAAGCGTTCCACCAGGCCGGAGCCAGTGTTGAGAAGGCCCTGGCTCTGGTTGAGGCTAATCTGACTTCCTTAGGGCCCGGGACCTCTAGGGTGTTGCTATTTATGGACCTTAAGGTCCTCCGTGGGGCATACTGGGAGAGGCGGTCCCGTAGGTACGAGGGTCCTAGGCCGTGAAGGGCTTTAAAGGTCAAAAGCAGCACCTTAAATCTGACCCTGTACTCCACCGGGAGCCAGTGCTGCTGGAAAAGCACTGGGTGAATATGCTTCCATGCCAGAGACCCCGTGAGGAGCCTCGCTGCAGCATTCTGCACCCGCTGGAGTTTCTGGGACAGCTTCAAGGGCAGCCCCGCGTAGAGCGAATTACAGTAGTCAGGCCTTGAGGTGACCGTCGCATGGATCACTGTGGCCAGGTCGGGGCGGGAAAGGTAAGGGACCAACTGCTTGATGCGGCGAAGGTGGAAAAATGTCGCCTTGGCTGTTGTTGTAACTTGCGCCTCCATGGAAAGGGAGGCATCAAGGATTATACCCAAACGCTTAACGGAAGGCAATGGCACTAATTGGGCCCCTGCAAGAGAAGGGAGTTGGTCCCTTAACTGAATGCATCTCCTTTTCCGCACTTGGTTAGCTGTTGAACAGCATAAACTGTTGAAAGTGTTAGGTCTCTGACATGGCAGCTTAAACTCAAAGCCATGCTCACAGGGCTGAGCCATTGCCCCCTTCTGTTGGCTTTTCCCAAAGGGTACTCACTCAGCCAAACTGGGAATTCCGGACGTCATGGCTCTCCGTCAGCCTCCTCCGATCTGCCTCTTTGAAGTCTCCGCCAGTCGATCAAGCTGACGACCAGCAGATAAAACTTCAAAGCCCTTCCTCACACGCTTCACGTTGACCCATAACCATGTTAAGTAGAATTTATTGCTTTACTCTTGGTGTCCGGCACGCTCCCCTGCACCTCTGCAGGTCGTAAAGCAATTAGCAGAATTGCACAGCGTCCGTGTAGAAAGAGCAGTAAAACAGTCCCACACGTTTCTTCTTTTCTAATAGCACTTTAATTGCTCAAAAGTAGCATATTTACAATTCATAGACACCATCTGATTGAAGCTGCATTTTGCATCCTTCTCTCTCAGCTTTGCAGCTGTGGAACAAAGCTGCTTTCACTTTTCACTCAGCTCACAGCATTCCAAGCTGCTTTCGTCACGCCCTGGCTTACTTCCCTTGTAAGCGCCTCCTCTCAGCCTCGAGACACAGAAGGTTAACCCTTCACTACACCCAACAGAAAGGACTCCTTAGCTATGGCTTCCAGCTTGACTTTCCAGCTGCAGGGATGGATCTAGCGATTGCTAATCTGAATCACGGAGGAGGAGAAAGGTTACGTTCCAGAAGTTTTCGGTCATTTATCCAAGATCTGCCAACAATGTTTTTTTGTCTGGATTCAGCCTTGTCTGCCCTCAACCTAATCCGCTAAAGTGATGGATGGTTAAGGTAACAAAATGTGCCAACCGTGTGTGTGGTTTTTCAACAGGGTTCTTAATTCAGGAGCAGCTTTCCACAGGAGGTGTCCTCTGGTTTCCGGACCTCACTGTACCTGACTCAACTTGGATTCTGCCAATTACTCTTGGACTCCTCAATCTGCTGATAGTGGAGGTATGGAAGGCTGACTCTGGGACCACCATCAAATCACATCTACAGCTATTTGGCCGACTTGCAGTTTACTCTGCAGTGGTACCTTGGTTCTCAAACGTAATCCGTTCCAGAAGTCCGTTCCAAAACCAAAGCGTTCCAAAACCAAGGCGCGCTTTCCCATAGCAAGTAATGCAAAATGGATTAATCTGTTCCAGACTTTTAAAAGCAACCCCTAAAACAGCAATTTAACATGGATTTTACTATCTAACGAGACCATTGATCCATAAAATGAAAGCAATAAACAATGTACTGCAGTCACACAATCAATCAGTCAATAGCTGAATTGGGTTCCACACAGTCACAGAAACAAAACATAAAAGCCGCAAAAACAAAAACACAAAATAAATAGCAAAAACAGATAGGCCTTAGTGTAGCACTCAAAACGGAAGCGTGGCACTCAAAACAGAGCATGTTTGGCTTCTGAAAAAAGTTCACGAACTGGAACACTTAACTTTTGGGTTTGCATTATTTGGGGTCCAAGATGTTTGAGTACCAAGGCGTTTGAGAACAAAGGGATCACTGTATTGTAAATAAAATAGACCAGCAGTTTGTCAGCAGAGACAGATAAACAAACGCTGTAATGGCATTTAATTTCTGCTTTGGAATAGCAGGGCTATACTTCTTAAAAACAAAAACCGTTCCAGTTAACATTGTCTTTCGACCGTTAGATACAGTTTTTAAAGGAGGTGAGCAGCTTGATATATAAAGCAGATTGCCGGCCACGTTGGGAGTTCTCACACTTTAAACCTGGGAAGGACTTTAAAGCGTAGATAATAACTTGCGTTGACCTGTACGCACCAGTTCCTGAGTTGCATATTTGCCTCCTCGACGCTCCAGCTGACATTTTGTTCCCCAAATTTCTTACAAGTGAAATTTGTCTCTCCAGATTTTTGCTTTGCGGAAAACTCAACTGTCTCGGCTCCAGAGGTATGGCACTAACTTCTTCCGAGGTGTCTCGGTGCTTATGATTCCAATCGCTGCAACTGTACCATCAGTAAGTAACCTAGAACAACATTGTGTATGCCATCAAATGCCACCAGTGCCCTTCAGCTCTCTGTATTGGACAAACAGGATAAACCCTACGCCAAAGGATAAATGGACATAAGTCTGATATCAGGAATCACAAGACAGAGAAACCAGTAGGAGAACACTCCCAGGACAATCAATCTCCCAGGACATTCTATACAAGATCTCAAAGTAACTGTCTTATTGCAAAAGAATTTCATAGACTGGAAAGAGAAGTTGCTGAATTGCAACTTGTTACCAAACTTAAAACCATGGAGAGACCGGGTCTGAATAGAGACATTGGATTCTTAGCTCATTATACATGATAAAGCTATTTTGAGCCATCTCACCCCTTGCTTTTTCCTATAAGACCAATTGCAGTCGTTAACAGTTGTCAACAGGTTTACTACACCTATCAGCCAATCACCCATTCCCACCACCCTTCTGAGTAATACCCTTCCCCACCCTCTCACTATATGTAAGGGTCTGGTGACTTCTGTTTCAGTGTATCTGAAGAAGTGTGCATGCGCACGAAAGCTCACACCAATAACTAACTTAGTTGGTCTCTAGGGTGCTACTGGAAGGAATTTTTTTATTTTGTTTTGACTAGAACAACAGCGCTGAGTTGGGCCAATGCTTCTTCCAGGCTCTGAGGTGGTTTGGGAAACCCATTGCGAGTGAGCCCCTAATTCTCCAGTTTGGAGCCCGGAAATGGTTTTTGTGCCGTGGCTTCATTTCAAGAAGTAATAATACACTCCAGCAGTGTGTACAGGCACCCTGCGCTGCTTTTCCTGTGTAGGAAATGTCCAGGTTTAGTCCTTGGCATAGTTTAAAACAGGCATGGCCAAACGTGGTCGTCCAGCTGTTTTGGGACTACAATTCCCATCATCCCTGACCACTGGTCCTGTTAGCTAGGGATGATGGGAGTTGTAGTGCAAAAACAGCTGGAGGGCCGAGTTTGGCCATGCCTTGTTTAAAAGGACTAGATCGCAGATGATGTGAGGAACCTTTGCCTGAGACCCTGGAAATTTGCTGGCAATTGGGGTTGACATCAGTGAAGGACCAGTGGCCTGACTAATATCTCACCTTCCTACATCTATTTTTAAAAAGATTTTACTGTATTTTTACAGTTTTATATTCAATCAAACAACACATTATAACATTTGTCATATAAAAGAAAAAGGAAGGGAAAACCCCTCCCTGTGACTTCCCTCAACTTACCCTTCTGGTTCTTTAAATATTTACTACTTCTGCTTAATTATTATCTTATTTTTATAATCCTATACCTTAATATTCTTATTCTCTTATCAGTTTTATTCCAAATTTTCCTTCTTGATTACTTCTTACAGTCAATTTCATTCCACGTTGTCCTTAACCTTTGATCTTATTTTCTTACTTGTAAATGTTTAATCAGATCCCGCTAGTGAGTCCATATCTTTACAGTATTTCTGTAAGTGCAACATAAAAGGTTCCCAGTCTTTTTTAAATTCTTCACTATCTCTGTCTCTGATTCTTTCCGTCAGTTTCACCATTTCTGCATATTCCATAAGCTTGACTTGCCATTCTTCTCTTGTTGGTACAACTTCCTACATCTAAACTCCAAATGCTCCCTTGCATCCAGTACTGAACAGCTTGCTCAGAAAACCTCTTGCAGTAGAAAACCACGAGGATTTTCCCCGTTTTCAGAAACTGTCATATTTGTAATGGCATTAGTGTCCTTACTCATTCTTTGAGGAGCTGAATGATATAATAGCTGGATGTTGTATGACTGGTGCATGAACATCACAGCTTAAGCAGGAGTTTGAACCCATGTCTTTCATATCCAAATCCAACATCCAAACTGAAGCATCTTAGAAGAACATCTCTGCCATAGATAGGCAAACTAAGGCCCAGGGGCCGATTCCAGCCCAATCGCCTTCTCAGTCTGGCCCGCGGACGGTCCAGGAATCAGCGTGTTTTTACATGAGTAGAATGTGTGCTTTTATTTAAAATGCATCTGGGTTATTTGTGGGGCATAGCAATTCGTTCATTTCCCCCCCAAAAAATATAGTCCGGCCCCCCACAAGGTCTGAGGGACAGTGGACTGGCCCCCTGCTGAAAAAGTTTGCCGACCCCTGCTATGTTAACTCCTGCTGAAGCTGGGTAGAATATTGCTTCTAAGATGCTCCAGTTTTTAAGATGGCTTCATAAATTTGGAAGAGCCAGGTTTTGCGGCTGGAGTGAGGCCTGGGTTCAAATTCCCCTCAGCCTTGGTGATTGGACCATCTTTCACCCTAATGTAACTCAGAAGGTTGTTAGAAGGAGGAGAAAAGGGACTGAGAGCACTTTGTATTGGCACCCTGAGCTTTTTGGAGGAAGGTGGGCCGAAATGTATCCCATCAAGTTTTCCACATATAGTGGTACCTTGGTTCTCAAACTTAATCCATTCCAGAAGTCCGTTCCAAAACCAAAGCGTTCCAAAACCAAGGCACGCTTTCCCATAGAAAGTAATGCAAAACGGATTAATCCGTTCCTGACTTTTTAAAACAACCCCTAAAACAGCAATTTAACATGGATTTTACTATCTAACGAGACCATTGCTCCATAAAACGAAAGCAATAATCAATGTACTGTACTATAAAATAAATATGATAGTATTGTGGATGATGAAAATTAAAATTCTTTTTTCCCTTAGCTGCACTGATGATAGTCATCATTTGGATGGGGGGCTTTTATCGATTTCCACAGTCACACTGTAGCTGAACTGCGTTCCACACAGTCACAAAAAGAAATAAACCAAAAAAATCCTCAAAAACAAAAACGCAAAATAAATAGCCAAAGCGCCAAACTTAATCCATTCCAGAAGTTTGTTTGACTTCCAAAATGTTCGAAAACCAAGCCGCAGCTTCTGATTGGTGCAGGCGCCCCAGAAACAATAGTTGACAGATGCATCGGACGTTCGGCTTATGAAAAACGTTCGAAAACTGGAACACACAAACACTTTTCGGCCTTTGGGAACCAAGGTACCGCTGTATTTGATATTCCTAAAAATGAAAGATAGCGTCCGTCCTCTTGGGTGGTTGCGATACTTTTTCAGCATCCTGGCTTTGTTGAAAGTAATGCTTCTTTCCTCTCTGGTTTCAGGCAATGGCTTTGTACTGGGTCTCCTCAAGCTTCATGGGCCTTTCGCACAACCTCCTGCTTCGTTCTCCTGCTTTCCGTCGACTCTGCCACATACCCCGGACCAAGTCTGATTCAGACACTCCTTACAGAGATATTGCAGCTGGAATCTATGCAAAGTATTTCCCAAAGTGAAACACTCTTTCAGAAGACCTGTGCTATGTTTAGATTTGGAATTGAGCAGTGCTCTGCTATAAAAGACTTATTTAATGTGGCTCCATTGGACTGTTGAAAATTGTGACACCGTATTTATTTTCCTAATAAAAGAGTACATGTCGTTACGTTGGGAGGCCTTGTGGCTAATATGTTCGCAGAGTGGGGAAATGGGTCGATCCTTCACCACTACCAGTAATAATTTCATCTGTACATTCTGTTCAGCTTCTAAAACAGGCACCCCCAACGTGCGGCCCTCCAGCTGTTTTTGGACTACAACTCCCATCATCCTTAGCTAACAGGACCAGTGGTCAGGGATGATGGGAATTGTAGTCCAAAACATCTGGAGGGCTGAAGGTTGGGGGTGCCTGTTCTAAAACATTGTGGATGCTTTCAGTTTGTCTTGGATTTCTGAAATTCCCTCTCTTTGTATTAATCTGCATTTTAACAAATGCTATACTGAAATTCGTGACTAGATGCATACTTAAGTTTGTAGTTTATTTGCATACCTATTTAAATACCTATTTTATCACAGCGTATGCATCTCTGGTATCCCCAAAACACACATCTTTAACCTTTTTCAAATCACTTTTTGAGATGAGAGGTGTATTGCAGAATTTTGGGATGTACAAAATCTGAAGAACAATTATGTTGCAATCCATATATTAGATGGGGAGATGTGAATTAAGTCAGTTTGTTGAAAAAACCTGAACAGAACGACATTCACATCCATCCTTAGGCTCCTTATGGGGTCCTCGCCGCGGGATCACATTCATCCAGTGCTTTTCCAGCTGCACTGGCTCCCGGTGGAGTACAGGGTCAGGTTTGAGGTGCTGGTTTTGGCCTTTAAAGCCCTATGCGGCCTAGGACCCACATACCTACGGGACTGCCTCTCCTGGTATGCCCCGCGGAGGACCTTAAGGTCCACAAATGACAACATTTTGGAGGTCCCAGGTTGCAAGATTGGTCGCAGCTAGGGCCAGGGCCTTTTCAGTACTGGCCCCGACTTGGTGGAACTCTCTGTCACAAGAGACTAGGGCCCTGTGGGACTTAACATCTTTCCGCCTGGCCTGCAAGACAGAGCTGTTCCGCCTGGCCTTTGGTTTGGACTCTGTCTGACCCTTCTGTTGCCCTCCCCTTATGGTTTTGATCTATGGGTGAGGAAGCTGCGTGGCCCATAGGCCAGTCCCAGGTCCCAGCTGAATTTCACCCAGGTGGCAGCATGCTAGCAGCAAAGTGGGCAAGCTGTTGCCCCAACTGCGGCTGGTGCTGGGCTCTTGACCATAGCTGTCAAGTGTCCCTTATTTGAAGGGACAGTCCCTTATTCCAGGGCCATGTCCTGCTGCTGTCCCTTATTGATGGATGTCCCTTAAATGATGTCCCTTAAATTTCAAAGGAAGCTGCTCCTCTCCCTGCCGGCCAGGGAGGAGGGAGGTTCCAACTGTGTTGCTTGGCTGTGTTGCTCACCCAATAAGAAGTCTTAAGAAAGACTGGGGGGTGGAGCTTGCATGCCTTGTGTATGGCTAGTTAATGCAAGCTGAGGGGGTTTTGAATGCTGGACGCCATTTTGTTGCACGTGCTGCTGCAAACTTTGCAGTGCAAAGCCAGGCCGGGGAGCCATCTTAAGTTGAGGCTGCATAGGCCTTGTGGTGCATGTGATTCAGATTCTATTCAGTTGAACCTCTGGTTACAAAGTTGGTTGGGCAGTGTTCTCGAAGCTACCAGCATGAGTTTGACCAGACTGCAGGAGGACAGGAAGACTGGAGTGCCTGGAACAGGTGAGGCTGCAGGTCCCTTATTTTGGCTGCTGGTCCCTTATTTTCAAATCTGTAAGTTGACAGCTATGCTCTTGACAGTCACAGAAGAATCAAGCAGCCAGCGCCAAGGGCACAGCAGTCTGCTTGCAAAAGTCGAAAAATGGTTGGTGATAAGTTGTGGGTGAACATATCAGACGACACAGTGATTCTTCAAACAGCTCTTGTTTATTCAGAGGCCAGAACAGAACTGAGCTGAAGGGTTTAGTCAGCCTGCTTATATAGAGCTCCAGTACAACGTTACTGTAGCAACTTTCTAAAACTATCCAATCACTGAACGTCACTTTCGATCCCTTATTTGCATAACTATCTACAGTATCCCCCTGCTGGACCAGGGTGAGAACTTCAGTACGGAACAGTTGGGGGGGCATAAAGAGAATGGAAGGAGAGCCCTTTGGATCAGGCCAAAGCCCCCTTGAGTGACGCGCAGCGTAAATTAATAATGCAGAGTTTTTAAGTGAAAGAATAAGAGCTTTACTGAGTTGAAACAAACTTCTTCATAAACAAGATGGTTCCAAACAGTTTGACTGAGATTACACACTGAGTCTGCTCACAGCTGAGGCAGACGGACTCTGACTGAAATCTTACTGAGAACACACAGAGAAAATGGCGGCTCAGTCACATGTCAGAGTGACTCCACAGTTAGCAGTTAGGCCTGAATAACTTGAGTAGGCCCAAATAACTGTGCAGTCCCAGCACTTCCCAGCCTGCTTTGCTGCTTCTGCTCTCATGGGTCTTTGTCACATGACATTGAGCCCAGCATCTTGTTCTCACAGCAGCCAACCAAATGTCTAGGGGAAGCCTGCAAACTCTTGCGGCTTGCAATTCCCACCAATTGGTATTCAGAGGTGGGCAGAGGAGAGGATGGCCGTAGCGAGGATTTTGTTGGGGGGGCAGGACACCCACCTGTCATTATGTTTCTGAGCACAATTCAAAGTGTTGGTGCTGACCTTTAAAGCCCTAAACGGCCTCGGTCCAGTATACCTGAAGGAGCGTCTCCACCCCCATCGTTCTGCCCAGACACTGAGGTCCAGCGCCAAGGGCCTTCTGGCAGTTCCCTCACTGCGAGAAGCAAAGCTACAGGGAACCAGGCAGAGGGCCTTCTCGGTAGTGGCGCCCGCCCTGTGGAACGCCCTCCCACCAGATGTCAAAGAGAAAAATAACTACCAGACTTTTAGAAGACATCTGAAGGCAGCCCTGTTTAGGGAAGCTTTTAATGTTTAATAAGTTATTGTATTTTAGTGTTTTGTTGGAAGCCGGCCAGAGTGGCTGGGGAAACCCAGCCAGATGGGTGGGGTATAAATAATAAAATGTTGTTGTTGTTGTTGTTGTTGTTGTTGTTGTTGTTGTTGTTGTTGTTATCATCATCATCATCATCCTCTGTCTGGTTCTGCCCAGCAGATTCGGAATGAAACATCTCAGCCAGTGCTGGGTTTACATATACAGTGGTGCCTCGCAAGACGAAATTAATTCGTTCCATGAGTTTTTTCGTCTAGCGAATTTTTCGTCTTGCGAAGCACGGTTTCCCATAGGAATGCATTGAAATTCAATTAATGCGTTCCTATGGTCAAAAAAAGTCCAATCAAAGCCAAATTTGGTACAACAATAGTTTATTAACTGCTCTTTAAAGTCACACATACTTTAAAGAGCATATCAAAATTGAAGGAACAATAAATTAAGTTTCTAAACATGACAGGAAAAACATTTAAAAATCAAAAAGGGTACATTACATTTTCTAAGACTCTGGGGACCACTCGAAGAAGGTTCCTCTTCCACTCTTTGCTTCTTGCTGAGGAACCTGTCCATGGTCTGCTGCTTCATCCGCCTTTTCAGCAGCTCCCTGAGAGGCAACATGACCGTCGTATCAAAAGTGTTCGCTTGGTCATGTGCCACGTGCTTGTTAGGGTGGTGCCGCTCTGCAAAAGCCTGCACCTCCTTCCACTTCTGGCAAATGTCCCTCAGTTCTTTGGAGGACGGCCGTTCCTCAGTTGCTTCCTCCTCTTCCAGCGAGGCCTGCTCCTGCGCAACCTCTGACTGCAGTTCAACCAGCTCCTGGGTGGTCAGCTCGTGGTCGTGCTCCTCCACCAGCTCGCAGACGTCCTCCTCTGTGACCTCCAGGCCCATGGTCCTCCCCAAGGCAACAATGTCCTGCACCACTGTTGACTCTGGTGCATCAGAGTCACTTGGTGCCACACAGTCCGGCCACAGGCTGCGCCAAGCGCAATTCAAATTTCTCTGGCTGATCCTGTTCCAGGCCGTGGTGATCATCTTCAAGCAGGTGACGATGTCGAAGTGGTCCTTCCAGAATTCCCGCAGGGTGATGGTGGTGCAATCAGTCACCTCGAAGCATCTCGTGAAAAGCTCCTTGGTGTAGAGTTTTTTTTGAAATTGGCGATGACCTGCTGATCCATCGGCTGGAGCAGTGGCGTGGTGTTAGGCGGCAGGAACATGATGTTGATGAAGCTGAACTCCTCCAACAAGTCCACCTCAAGGCCTTTAGGATGAGCAGGAGCATTGTCCATCAGAAGCAAAGCCTTCAGCGGCAGGTCGTTGTCCAGCAGGTACTGTTTGACAGCAGGGCCAAAAGCAAGATTGACCCAGTCCACAAACAGCACACGTGTGACCCAAGCCTTGCTGTTGGATCGCCACATGACACTCAGCCGCTCCTTGTCGACCTTGTGTTTCTTGAAGGCCCGTGGGTTCTCCGAGTGGTACACCAGCAGGGGCTTGATCTTCAGGTCGCCGCTTGCGTTGGCACAGAAGAGCAGGGTCAGACGGTCCTTCATGGGCTTGTGGCCAGGCAACTTGGCCTCCTCCTGTGTGAGGAAAGTCCTTTTGGGCATCCTCTTCCAAAACAGCCCGGTCTCGTCGCAGTTGAAGACCTGCTGTGGAACGTAGCCCTCTGTCTTCACAGCCTCCAGGAACTCCAAGGCAAAGTCTTCAGCCGCAGGAACATCAGAACTGGCAGCCTCTCCATGCCTGACCACGCTGTGGATTCCAGATCTTGCCTTGAACCGGTCAAACCAGCCTCTGCTTGCCTTGAAGACTTCTGGCTCGCCTGAGGTTCCTGGCTGTTCCCGGATGAGGTCTGCGTGCAAGGCCTTGGCCTTCTCACAAATGACGGCCTCAGTCACTGTGTCCCCTGCACGCTGCTTCTCTTCTAACCAGATGAGCAGCAACTTCTCGACCTCCTCCAGAACAGCTGGGCGGTTCTTCACGATCCTGGTGACTCCCTTGGCTGCATCAGTCGCAAGGATCTTCTCCCTCATCTTCAGGATGGTCCCGATGGTCGATGGGTTCCTGCCGTACTCCCTGGCGAGGTCCGTCACACGCATTCCACCGTCGTGCTTCCAGATGATCTCCTTCTTCATTTCCAGCGTCACCTTCTCCTTCTTCCTCTCGCCGGCCTCCGCAGCAGCAGCAGTCTTCTTGGGTCCCATGGCAGCACAGCTCTTATCTTCGTAAACTCAGAAAAAGAAAAAAAAAAAATCAGCAATTCAAACCCAGAACCAAGTCCTTGAATTCCAAACACCCAACCCAAAATCCAAAACCCCCCAAAAAAGTTTTAAAAGTTTAACTTACGAAATGGCTGCAAATCACCAAAGTCTTCAAAATCCTCAAATGGCTGCAAAAGAAGTTTTGGGAAAGCTTTAAAAATCACCAAAGTCTTCAAAAACCTCAACTGTTCCCCCAGCCCCTCCCCAACTGTTGCAAACCCCTCCCCAACTGTTGCAAACCCCTCCCCAACTGTTGCAAACCCCTCCCCAACTGTTGCAAACCCCTCCTCAACTGTTCCCCCATCCACCCAGCACACAGAGATTCAAACCCAGAAATTTTTTCAAAAAAAACAACAACATGGCCCAATGGTCACAGAAAACCATAAAAATTCCAAAAAAAAAAACACAAAACCACACAAGCTTCCAGATGCTTGCAAACCCCTCCCCAACTGTTCCCCCATCCACCCAGCACACAGAAATTCAAACCCAGAATTTTTTTCAAAAAAACAACAACATGGCCCAATGGTCACAGAAAACCATAAAAATTCAAAAAAAAACCCACACAAGCTTCCAGATTCTTGCAAACCCCTCCCCAGCTGTTCCCCAGCCACCCAGCACACAGAAATTCAAAACCCAGAAATTTTTTCAAAAAAAACAACATCGGCCAATGGTCACAGAAAACCATAAAAATTCAAAAAAAAAACCACACAAGCTTCCAGATTCTTGCAAACCCCTCCCCAGCTGTTCCCCCATCCACCCAGCACACAGAAATTCAAAACCCAGAATTTTTTTTCAAAAAAACACAACATGGCCCAATGGTCACAGAAAATCATAAAAATGCAGAAAAAACCACACAAGCTCCCAGATTCTTGCAAACCACTCCCCAGCTGTTCCCCATCCACCCAGCACACAGAAATTTAAACCCAGATTTTTTTTCAAAAAAAACACAACATGGCCCAATGGTCACAGAAAAGCATAAAAATGCCGAAAACAACCACACACGCTCCCAGAGTCTTGTAAACCTCTCCCCAACACCAGGTCCTTGAATTCTAAACACCCCAACCCAAAATCCAAACCCCCCCCAAAAAGTTTTAAAAGTTTAACTTACCAAACAGCTGCAAAGAAGTTTTGGAAAAGCTTCAAAAATTCAGCAAACTCTTTAAAAAGCTCAAAAGGCCACCCCACCGCGTGCAATGGGGTGCTCCTCGCAGTCAAGTCGCAACTGCACCTCTGCCAGCAAGGCACCGGGGGTTTTAACGGTTTTACGAAACAGGAAACAAACTTGCAAGACGTTTTCGTCTTGCGAAGCAAGCCCATAGGGAAATTCGTCTTGCGAAGCAACTCGAAAACGAAAAAACCTTTCATCTTGCGAGTTTTTCGTCTTGCGAGGCGTTCGTCTTGCGGGGCACCACTGTATCTTATCCAGACATTAAACAATGCTTTTCTAACAATATGATTTTTAAACGCTTTATGTGCTTTTACCTTATCGTACCACAAGTATGCATGCCAACCGAATACATTATTGAACCCTACTAGATCCAACATGTCAGTGCTTTCAAGAAGCAGCCATTCTCTCAGCCAGCAAAAAGCAGCTGATTCAGAATAAAGTTTAAGGTCTGGCAGGGCAAATCCACCTCTTTCTTTGGCATCAGTTAGTATCTTAAATTTTATTCGAGGCTTCTTGCCCTGCCAGACAAATCTGGAAGTATCTTTCTGCCACTTCTTGAAACAATCTATCTTATCCAAAATTTGCAATGTTTGAAACAAAAACAACATCCTTGGCAGCACATTCATTTTTATCACAGCAATTCGGCCTAACAATGATAACTTCAAATTTGTCCATATTTCTAAATCCTTTTTCACTTCAATCCAACATTTTTCATAATTATCCTTAAATAAATTCACATTTTTAGCAGTCATGTTAACCCCTAAATATTTCACTTTCTTAACCAATGTTAGTCCTGTCTCCTCCTGAAACTTCTCTCTCTCATACACAGTTAAGTTTTCTCTAAAACCTTAGTTTTCATCTTGTTCAACTTAAAACCTGCTACCTGTCCGAATTCTTGAATCAGTTCCAATACCCTTTTAGTACTAGATTCTGGCTCCTGTAAAGTCAATACTAAGTCATCAGCAAATGCTTTCAGTTTGTACTGTTTAACTCCCACTTGTACACCTTTAACCTCTTGGTCCTTTCTGATCATATTTAACAAAACCTCAAGGACCGATATAAAGAGCAATGGAGAAATTGGGCAACCTTGTCGTGTCCCTTTCTCAATCTTAAACTCTTCTGTCACTACATTGTTCACAATTAATTTTGCCTTTTGTTCTGAATAAATTGCACCTATACCATTTTCAAAACCTTGACCTACCCCATTTTAATTGTTTTAATGTTGTATTTTAATCTTGTTTTTAAGTTGTATTCATTCAACTCGTTTTTATTATTGGTTGTTAGCTGCCCTGAGCCCGGCCTTGGCTGGGGGGGGCGGGGTATAAATAAAAATTATTATTATTATTATTATTATTATTATTATTATTGGAGTTCTGAACAGGACCAATCCTGCTGGAGGGTAAGGAATCACTGAGACATTCTGATTCATACAAGTCCCATGTATGTTTACCACTTTGAAGTTGTTGGGTTGTTGTTGTTTTTTTTAAAGTAATCAAGCAGTATATAAATTGAAGCAGTGCATAAATTGTATAAAATAAATAAATAAATGTCCATCTAACAGAAATTAGTTTGAAATCTGTTTCCTATAGAAACTGAATGGCAAATTAAATATGGTGTCCTCCAAAACAATTTGGTAACTTAAGGTAAACAGTGCCTGGACAGGAATTTACCTTATTGTTATGATTCTGTCCCCCGTTTTGTCTTTCTGCTTATCAATGTCTATATGCGCGCCAGTAAACTCTCGGATAGCATTGATGTTGCAACCACCTCTTCCAATTACTCTGGAAATGACAGCTGATGGAACAGAAACCTTCTTTGATCTAAGAGAGAGACAAAATTACGGCAATCGGGTAGAACAGATTTAGTATAGTATACTTGTATCATACTTAAAAGTTTGGTAGCGCATGGTCGGAAGCAAGTATATATGCTGCAATGAGATGCGCCGGCGGTTTGTAAGCTTTGTAACATGTATGCCATGCCTGAAATCAAAGCGGCCCAAAGGCTGGCTATGGATGCGATCCAACGTAGCACAGGCAGGTGTCTGCTTCCGCAACTGGGCTTCTTCTTTCTCTCCTCTCCCCTTTAGTCCCCTGCACCCCACCAAATCTGCTCTGGGGGCTGGAGGGCAAAAGAGAGAAACTGGAAGTCCCATTGCGCAAGCAAGACATCAATGGAATTCACCCTATAGATATTTAGTGAAGAAAAAAAGCATTCTTACAAGACATTCTCCTGTCCATCAACCTTTCAAATGTAAAAACAGAAAAGCTAATACAGTGGACCCTCGAGTTACATACCGTTCTGGATACGTAACTTTCGGGTTGCAAACCCGGAAGTGTATACTTCTGGGTTTCGCTGTGCGTGTGCGCACAGAAGCACTCGATCACATCGCGTGCGTGCGCAGAAGCAACGCCTCCAGCTACGGACTTTTCAGGTTAAGTACGGAACCCAGGAATGAATTTAATTCGTATCCGGAGGGTCCCCTGTACGTGGCCTTTGGAGACTGCGGTTAGAAAGCTTTGGCTGAAACAAAGCACTGAAGCACTCTGCTAATAGTTGTAGCTGTGAAAGTGTCCCGAGTCTACACAAAAAGCTGAAGAGAAAGAGAAAAAGAAAACAGGAAGACACTTGCATGGTAAATGTATTCATATCCTGCTTCTCAGGTGCTGGCACCGAAAACAGGCTCTAATACTATCTCTTGGAAGTTACAGACTTTGACGACCGGGGAATGAAACGGCCATACCATGACTAATTTTGCCAGCAATGCAAACATGGTTTAAAGTAAAATATTCAAAGCAGGGACTAGAGATGGGTGGGTGGATGAGGTAGAGAATCACTGGCAATTACCACCATCACGGATTTGGACTTACCTTCTTACAACCTCCTTCCATCCTTCCTCCCTCTTCTGACCACGTTTAGGGCTAGCTAAGGTCAATTTTCCATTAGGAGAAGACAGGGGCGATGGGGAAGGTTTTGTGCAAGTAGATAAGGAATTGCCAGTTACTTCGCTAATAACTTCTGACAACCTTTCAGAGGAAAGGGGGAGGGGAGGGGAGGAAAAAGAGCGCTTGTTAACGTAACTCTCATGAGAAAAACGTAAAAGACAAATGCAGAGACTCTTGTTTAGCCCTTTAATAACATCTTTAGTATTAGAATATTAAATTTAACACCATGCTAAAAAGTAAACTGATCAATCATAGACAAAGTACACTTGGCTTTTGTCTGCTTGGTTTTGTTTGTAAGCCTGTTTAGAATAAAAGACATTTGGATATAAATGAGGATGAATCTCAGTATCCCAAGATTCACAGTGGGGGGGAAAAATGGCAGATGAAGAACAGTGCCAAAGCAATCAACACTAGCAAGACATAAGAAAACAAAGTTTTCCTCTTGCATTTCATGCAAACCATAGCTTGAAATGCACCTAGCAACCGATAATCAAAGTCCATTCATATGTAAAAACACAAGCGGTGGAATGCAACTGAAGGCTACCTTCATCGCAATCTAACTCAAAATTGGGCCTTTCCCTCTTCATAAGCAGAAATGGGCCGTCTGAAGGCAGAAGTAAAATCTTAAAGGGGAAAAGCTGCATGCACTTGCATAGTCTAGGATGCGAAAACTGTCACAGGACTCTCTTGATTTCAGTGTTTGAATGTAGCAGTGATTCTGGGATTCTGCTGTGGGAATAGGAACTTGAAAAGCTCCCACCTATGATTTTAATAATAATAATAATAATAATAATAATAATAATAATAATAATTTTTATTTATACCCCGCCCTCCCCAGCCAAGGCCGGGCTCAGAGCGGCTTACAAGGAATAATAAAAACAAGTTGAATGATCACAACTTAAAAACAAAATTAAAATACAACATTAAAATATTGAAACATTAAAATATTAAAATGTAGCCTCATTGCAGGAGGAGAAGGAAAGGAAAAAAGAAAGAGAGGGAGGGAATCAAATTGGATCCAAGCCAAAGGCCAGGCAGAACAACTCTGTCTTACAGGCCCTGCGGAAAGAAATCGGATCCTGCAGGGCCCTGGTCTCATGAGGCAGAGCGTTCCACCAGGCCGGAGCCAGTGTTGAAAAGGCCCTGGCTCTGGTTGAAGCCAATCTAACTTCCTTAGGGCCCGGGACCTCTAGGGTGTTGCTATTTATGGACCTAAAGTCCTCTGTGGGACATACCGGGAGAGGCGGTCCCATAGGTACGAGGGTCCTAGGCTGTTAAGGGCTTTAAAGGTCAAAAGCAGCACCTTAAATCTGACCCTGTACTCTACCGGGAACCAGTGCAGTTTGAAAAGCACTGGGTGAATATGCTCCCATGGCAGAGACCCCGTGAGGAGCCTTGCTGCAGCATTCTGCACCCGCTGGAGTTTCTGGGACAGCTTCAAGGGCAGCCCCGCGTAGAGCGAATTACAGTAGTCAAGCCTGGAGATGACCGTTGCATGGATCACTGTGGCCAGGTCAGGGCGGGAAAGGTAAGGGACCAACTGCTTGATGCGGCGAAGGTGGAAAAATGTCGCCTTGGCTGTTGCTGTAACCTGTGCCTCCATGGAAAGGGAGGCGTCAAGGATTACACCCAAACTCTTAACGGAAGGCAATGGCACTAATTGGGCCCCCGCAAGAGAAGGGAGTTGGTCCCTCATCCCCATGCCATCCCGACCCAGCCATAGGACCTCTGTCTTTGAAGGATTTAGTTTCAATCGGCTCCCACGAAACCATCCAGCCACAGCTTCCAAGCATCTGGTCAGTGTGTTCGGGGCCGAGTCGGTGTGGCCATCCATCAGCAGATAGAGCTGAGTGTCATCAGCATATTGGTGACAGCCCAGCCCAAAGCTCTGGATAATCTGGGCAAGGGGGCGCATAAAGATGTTTAAAAGCATCAGGGAGAGGATTGCGCCCTGTGGCACTCCACACACCAAGGAGTGGCGTGACGACATTTCCCTCCCTAGTGCCACCCTCTGTCCCCGACCAGAGATAAAAGAGCACAACCAGTTACGGGCTATGCCCTGTATCCCCACGTCTGCGAGGCGGTGGTCCAGAAGATCATGATCGACCATGTCAAAGGCTGCTGACAAATCTAAAAGGATCAGCAGTCCTGACCCGCCTTGATCCAGTTGTCTACGGAGATCATCTGTTAGGGCAACCAGAGCTGTCTAGGCCACCCTTCCTCCACCCATTATAAATATTTTCACGATGTTCTGTTATTTATCACCTATATATTACAAGAATCATCCGAGGTCTGCCAGGAGATTTTTGTCGTCACAACAATTTTTTAAATACTCCTTAAACACTATACATTCTAATAGGAAGGCCTCCAGTCTTTATGTAAATGGGAACTTGAGTATCTTTTTTAATTCATTGTATATAATATCCCAGAATTCTCTTATTCTTTCACATTCCCACCACTTATTCATATATGAACCTGTTCAGGTTCATGATGATTCAGTTTTAGGGTGCTTAAGTTTTCACTTAGAAGTTGGGGTTCGTTTTGTTTCTGTTTCACCCGTTTTGATTTTTGTTTCTTAAAAAACAAATCTCTACCTATTCTCTTCTCTGCTAGGGACCTGTCATGACTGACGATGGGAACTTCTTATTGGACTGGAAATTTGATAAAGTCCATAACTGGCGTGAAGCGAATGTGGCAATCAAGTTGATACCAGGTAGGTACTCTTGCGACAGAAGCATATTTCATGAGGGTTTTTTTTAAAAAAATCCCTTGTAGCTGGCCTGTTAACAGCTGTACAACTGTGGAATTAAAAATTCTAAAAAGTTATTAATTAGTGAGTCCAGTCCTCTTCTTTATAAATGAGGGAAAATATATGCCTAATGCCTGAATAACACAAGAGTAGAATTAAGTGCTTTGGAACTTATTTTTGCCCCTGACTGTACATCGTCTTAGTACAATGATAAATATGAATTCTTAGAAAATATTTCTTTTACCGAAAGCCTAGTGGAGGCGTTAATGCTGTATTTTCAACTGTTAGACAGCAGGTGGCGCCATTGGTGTAGATTGCTCTATATGTGGTTCTCTCAGATCACCTGTGTTAAGATATATTGTAGCATCATTTATTTTATTTTACTTTTTGTAACTTTATTAAGAGTTTCAAAACGAGTATTTTGTAAATACAGTAACAGAAAAACCATCTTGAGGTGTAAGACAATGGCACATGTGGATAACATTTTTCTACCATATATGAAGCAGTGGTTCTCAAACTTATTTCTCTGGACCACACTTCTAGGAAAAAAATTTGCTCGTGCCACACCATTTATTATTATTATTATTATTATTATTATTATTATTATTATTATTAGGAAATAGATTGGAAAACAGAAAGAAGCAGCTCCTAGCAGTGCTTGCTTCATAACATAGAATGTGACTGCTTTATAATATGAAGACGAGTCATCCAGAAAGTGTAAAACATAAATCATTCCCAAAATATAATTATGAATGAGCCTCTTACATATATCTAAGTATGTATATGCACCTTAAGTGTGTATGCAAACTCAACAAAAGTTGTGAGCTCGCAGTATCGCCTGATGCTCATTCCCTCATTTTGAAAAGATATCTATCTATATTCTGCAAATAATAAAAAATATTTCGACGCCGTGCTACAATATACTGCACTGAAATGTTTTAAATGTTCCTGTTTTTTATTATTAATTTTTATTGAAGTTTTTATCTCTGCAAAATAACAGAAACAAATGTCTACACATATGTTAGTAACACAAAGCATCCCACCAACTCACACAAACCCCACCCCCATTGGTTCGACATAACTCAAAATGTGAGTTAAAATCTGACTTGCTTCCATCGTTTCTTGACCTTGATTCTATAACTTATCTTTACAGTTGTGTTGTTATATTGTATTTGACAAATATTCTTATTTTACTAGCATTTGTAACCTTTCCCCCTTACCAACTTCATTCTTTACATATCAGTATTTCTGTACCGGAGCAGTGTTTTTTCGTATATTCATTCACGCAGCTCCATTCTTTTATCAAATTTTGATTTGTTTGACCTCTGATAGCTGCCGTCATTTTGGCCAGTTCAACAAAACACCCACAATAATAGAATGGCAAATCAAACTTACTGAATTTGTTGAATTGGTTAAATGTTCCTTTGGTTGTTCTTGAATCTTCTTGCCACCCTCTCCTCCCACACCCTTTGAGAACCACCAATATAAAGGATCAGTATGATCCTTTATGATCCAGTATGATCAGTATGATCCAGCATTTAGCAAAACGTGCATTTCTGGTCTCTCTCTAATTTTATTTTTTTTTAATTAAAATGTAAACAGGCCCAAAGATAGCACAGTTCAGAAATTCATTCTTCCCCCAGTGGGATGAAATTACAAACCTATGACTTGTATCTTACAAGTCCAGTATTTTCAGTGGTTATTAATACTTCAGTTGCATTCAGATGTGATTTTGCTTTGCTTTTCTAGGAGTGGTGGAAACAGGCCTCTTTATTGACATGGCGGAGCGGGTTTACTTTGGCATGGCATGGAAGATGGTTCTGTCAGTGTCCGGGAGAAGCCAGTCCACTAACCGCCACCCAGCCCCCAAATCTACTCTGCCTTCAGCCCATTGCATACAGTTTTATCACTTTGGTGCCAATTTGACATCTTGCCTTAAAGCCTGCTTGTCCCGATCTTGGTGAATGTAACCAAAGGTCCAGCAGATCTCACTAATACTGGAAATGAATGTTGTTTTAAATTATATTTTGTACTATTTTTCATGTAAATCGTTTTTTTAAAAAATCAATCATTTTGAGCATTTTAAAACTTTTTCCCCACTTTGGTTTTTATACAAAACATTTTACCAAAAAGGATATTTTATACAGTACTTGAACCATCGGGTTGCTCGGAGTGTGTCTAGCGGGGGGAGAAAATAGAAGTTGCATTTTGTGGTATTTGCATTAACACCCCCCCAAAATGCATTGACGCAGA